ATCACATGTGATGACATCACTAAAATTATTCGTATGATCTTTGGAAAATCTCGGGCAGCGCCGGGTAACATCTGCTAGTAATCATATATCCACTCCACCAATAAAATAAAAGAGACACATATTACTAATTTAGTGCCCAAAGAAAATTCCCGGTAGCTGTCTAAGTAGAATCAATACAATGTTATTTCTATATACATATATATGTTATATATATATACATAGATTATATAATTTTTAGACACATAATTAAAACATTTTTTTGATTATTACTATTTTTTTAAATTGTTTTTTAATACAAGGTATAACTTATTTCTACAATATGACTGTTGTCATAAGATATTTTTCTTCTAATTAAAGAAAAACCCACGAAATACTATTTAAAATAGTGGATATTCGTCACGTATTGATATTTTAAGCTATTATCGTTTAAATAAAATTATTTAAAAAAAAATCCACCAATTATTTTTTTGCTCAATATGTTTGAAATGGACTCTCGGGAGTCGAACATATAGATTCGAACAGGCTTCCACAGAGCTATCGGGCTCCATTAAGAGTAATCATATGTTTTGTAAATAATTTTTTTAACCCTTTTTATCTTTTTCAGTTCCCAATATGCGTATTTGAGAGATTTAATCCATCTATCTCTACTCACACACCTACCTCTTTCACACCTGGGGACTATGCGGGAATTGACCTAGACGCGTCATGATTTTCCGAGTGGTATCTCTCTTCTCCTTCCTGTGTCTGATTCAAGGAGGATGCTCTTGGACAGAGCCCTTTGGGGGAGGGGGAGACCTCAACGGAACAACCCCTGATGAGCCCTGCAGTTCCGGAGATAAATCCACGGAGTGTCTCATTTGCAGGGGTCTCCTTCTAGACTGCTCCAATATGAATCTCACGTCCCTACCCAATGACATCCCACAAGGAACAGAGAACTTGTAAGAACCCTTCATTTGTATCATCACGACGTAAAAATCATGAAATAACAAAATTACATAATCCCTTCTAAAAAAATAATTATTATTTGAGTTAGGAAAACAATTTCACTAGTTCTTAATTTAATAATTAAATGCTGTACTTCATTCCTTACACAATTTATTCCCAATGATGCAAGGATCTCAAGATATCTCTATTTTTTTAAATAAATTATGTATTTCTTTTTCTAATTTACTATCTTTTTATTGATCTTATATATTTATTTATATTAATTTTATCACTTTTAGTACCTCTAAAGCTAGTATATATATCATTACACACACACTCACCAATCTAAATGAGAACAAACTTCTTGGCGTCTAAATTAAACTTTTAAAACAAAACAGTCAGCTGATTGCGAATTTTTTAAAATAAAATAACCAAATAAGACTTTTTATATAAAAGTGAGGGTTTGTTAGTATTGAATGTGAAGGCATAATAGGCATGAAGATCTGACCATAAAAAATATTGTCCCATCAAAACTTCTTTTGGGATGTTAACTAAACTTAAAAAGAAACAAATATTAATATTATTTTGTCGTTCCCTCTCACAGAATATATAAGACTATTTTGAAGAAAGAAATCCCAACAATAAAAAGAAATGATAATGTGGTTTGAGTGATCAGTTTTCATTTATTATTTAATTTAAATGCAGTAAGGGATATTTTTGTACGCTAATGTACAAATTTGAAAAGAACTGCGATATATGAATCTTACATAACTCATGATAGCAGAGTGCTTTAACAAACTGTTAAGGAAATATTTGTTATTGATGATATGACCAATTGTGATTACATTAGGTTAAATATGTTGCACATACGATTACATTATTGAGATATAATTGTCTTTACATCAAAATAACTCATTTTCAGCTTTTTGATATTTGCTTTAAAATTCAAGAGTTTTATATATCGAAAGCTTTATAAAATAAATTTATCATAGAGTTATGTTTCAAAATGATAAGGTCGGAATTGCAACCATGTACAAGAAATAAATACTTACATAATGCCCAAAATATTGTAGATATCTAATGTATATTTCGAAGCAAGTGTTGTGAAGGCCAAAGATACAATAATAATGAACTAAGTTCATAATATAATTTACCTTCAAAAATATATTTTGGTATACACTGTTCATTATACTAAATGCTTCCATAAATGCATTCAAAATTAATTCAATGCACATATTTTAGTAGAAGTCCTAATATTGTATAAATATGAAGAAATATCATCTACATGTTGTGATCAACTTATAATGTATTGGCTATAATTTTTTTATTGCTGCAATCCTTGTGCATACATCATTGTATTAAAGGTTCATTGAACTTTTCCGAAAATTGAATGTATATTTTCTTATTAATATCTTTAAAGTTTGAACGGGCTTAGTTGTTTCCAAGTAAAATATTGATATTTTAGTTTTAGCACTTATTTGCATATTTTTATTTACTATGGCGATGTCGATTCTCTTGTATATTTCTTAGTTAAATATTATATTCTGCGAACAAAAATTTTTTTACCGTGAGTATTTATACATGTTATTTAGTTGATTAGTTTTGAAGAAAAATTTGGAGTTCCTATATGGAAATACATGCAAGGTCATTTAAACTATTTTTTTATCAGGACCACAACGTCCAAAATTGAATGAAGTTTAAAAGATGATTAGAATGACGCCATTGTTCAACATCAATGTCATATTATGAACAGCCATTCATTGTACTTTTTTGCATGTTTCAAGTGGCGAAAATGTAATAATAACTTTAAAATTATTTAGCAAATTAGCCGTGCGTGTTAAGGCGTGTTCAACTCTCAATGATGGGGGCGCAGGTTCGAATCCCGAGAGGGGATGGTCATTTTGGTCTACCTCATTGATAAGATCCTAAGTTCGATAGACTAATTTTAATGCTATAATGCTTATTTATATCCTATCGGATGCAATTCGATCGAACCATATAGGCAAAAAAAAATACAACGATTGAAAAAAAAAATTAATGCATTCCTAATAATTAAAAATATAAAAATGTTAAATGATTTTAAGCAATTTCAACAAACTTATGCACATCATAAATACTATTTTTTTGGAAGGAAACACACTAGCATAAATGCTTTCATTTATTTGGTTCTTCTTGATGTCTGTGTCGTCTTTGTTATATCAGCATTAACGGAAAAAATAATCATGGTTTTTAGAGCAACAGACAATATAAATAAATTATCGTTTTTTTTTGCAGGGATACGAAAAAAGCAAATTGCAAACAATGCTGTGTTTTTGTCTTTCACATTCAATCACATTAATGAACATGCCTAGAGATGACCATGAACCACACAATTATATCTATGTACAGCAAAAACCAAAAATATTCAACAATTGCTTCCTGTTGGGACTACAGAGACCATTCATCATACACTCTACAATATCTGTGAATAACTCCAAACCTCTTATTATTGTTGTTATTTTTATTGTAAGTCATTGCCATAAATTATCACATCATTTTAAGCCCAGAGTGATATTATCGACCCCCACCGCCGCCTACTACTACTATATCATGAATGTGGATGGTTCTAGGCATTTGTAAATTGCTTTGATTACCTCCTTGTGTCCTCCAGGCTGCAAACAATTGAGGCCTTAATGAACCCCCGACATTAAAAATCCAGGCTGGGAGAAATTAAATCTAATTAGAGGGCCTAATTCATCCATTCAAAGTTAAAGAGAGAAAGAGAGGAAACGTGATTAATTGCTAAACATGTACGAGGCATGCTGTGCGCGCATGGAGACAATCTATGTAAAACTAAATATAAAGAGTAGTAGTTTGGAATTGTGATGTTTTATTATTTTATTCCTTTGTGAGTTGATGCTTAAATAGCAATGGAAACGAATGGGATCTTGGTTGTAGTTTTTTTAACCATTGTCTCTATTTCGTAAGGTTAATAGGTTTAAGCAATAATAACTTAAATCAATTTGAAATAGTTGCATGTTTGATTGTGAGTTTATCCCCTACATTATTTATTTTATTTTTGTGCTGACGGTATAATTTTTTTGTTATTAGGTTTTTTAAATTATTATTTTATTAGTGTTTTTTTCAGTCACATGCATGAAGGAGTAAAAGGAGGGGGGGTTCTTACACGAAAAATGATCAATCAGCTTAGAAAGAAAAACATTACCTTACTTTTTTGTTGTTCACATATTGCTAGTGATATATATTATTAATAGAGTAAAGACAGTCCTATAAGCAAACTGCTTAGGAAATGGAGATAAAAAATTACTTTCTTGTCAGTATTTATATTTTTTTAATTAAAATATTTTTTAGATAATGATACTTTACTTAAACTGAAGATGGGGGAAATTTTAATATTTCTCCTCTTTTTTCCATATCTTTATTTTTTTTTTATCATTTAAATCTTCATTTACTCAGACATGTATTACAATCTATAAAATATAACACGCCACAATAATAGTGGCTACAATAGGATGTAAAATGTTGGTTTGATATACTAGAGGGTTCCATGCGGGCCATAAGTCAGCATTACATAATTAAAATTCGTCCAACGAACCTAGTATCTTTTCAATAAAGCCGATCAATATTGACATTCTTCTCTGGGAGTCAGCCATATGAAAGACGACCACGCTTCCACTAAGCCTTTGCGGACCTCTACATCTTTGCATTTTTAATGATAATATATTATTTAGAATTATATGGTCAGAGAATGACTGCGTCTCTTATTTTTGTTTCTTGATGTACCAACAACTTTAATTATAAAGTGTAATCAACATGATTACAAAGCGATTTATTGTAAATATAATGTTGTATACATAGATTTTTAAGAATTTTTTCATCATAATAAAATAACAGCATCATTTTTTTTTGTTCTCGATGTATAACTTTATTTTAACTTAATTATTAAATGTAATCAAAATGACTATAAAAGATTTATTTTAAATAATATGTATATATATATATTATGTAGAATTTTTATCACAAGGGTAAAATCTGTCAGTTTATTTTTTATTATTGAAAAGTATTTTATATAAATGGTTCGATACCGGGAATCGAACCCGGGTTGCTGGGTGAGAGCCAGGTATCCTAACCCTTAGGCTATGCCGAATGAATAAATACTAATTTTTAAATAGCAAAAATTAACCCTCGTAGTACAATATTCATACACTCTTGATTGAACCCTCATAAAATATGCTTTTAGTTGTCTCTTTAATTATAGTTTCATAGAGAATACTGACCATTTCAAGAAGCAGATTTTATTATCAAAAGAAACTGAATACTGTTCTGCTTGGTTAAATAATCGTTCTGCTAAAGAAGTATCTATAAGAATGCTTATAAATACATTTAAAAATAACATGATCTGAGCTTGGTTTTAAAGAATATATTTCAAAGTCATAGAGCTTAAAATAATAATTTATTAGGACTGCGGTTGGTTGAAACCAAGGGATTTTTTTAAACCAGTTAATTTTATGTAAATCTAAAAAACAAGAGACATACATAAAATCCAGAGCAAATGTGTAATAAAAACATAAATAAACATTGTAGCTAAAGTTTTTGCTCTGGAGTATAACATATGAAATAAAATGTCATATAAATGTAGAAACAATAATATCACTCTAAAATACAATCAATTAAACCACTTTATAGTAATTTAAAATTCCATACATTAATGTGAAAAATAAAACACAGAACAATGCAAAAAGATAAAAAATTATTATAGTTTATCTTTCTTAAAAACTTCAAAATTCTTTTGATAACTTTTAAATATACTGTGGAGCACGATGGAAAAACTCCACTTCCTTTGAGGCCAGAGTCCACGAATCGTCATGAAGACTAGGCATTTTCAGGTCCAACGCGGTGTATCGTGCCGCGATGAGTATAGGGATTTTTTCACTTTGATTGCATTAGAGTATTTTGGAATGGTTGAATTATGAGTTTACGTATCCACGATTACATATGCGAAAATTATTATTAGAACTACTTTACTTGTATAGGCTCTGTTTATCCTTTTCTTTAAACCAAAGCATAACTTTATTCCTATTATACTATTATATCAAATAATATCACAAAAATGCAATAAAACAATATAATCTATTAAAAAGTAATAAATATTATAACTACTATTTATCCTTTTGTGTACCAAAGCACAGCTTTATTCATATTATACTATGATATGTATAATATTCACAAAAATTCAATAAAACAATATAATCTATTAAAGAAGTAAAAAAAATAAGAAGAGGGGCTCATGTAGATCTCATTTTACAAATAAAATACTAAGTTTTAGAGGTAATAAAATTAATTTCTTCCTGCTACGCTTCTATATAAAAGTAAAAAAAATCTTTATTTCGCCCTTGCATATTTAAAAAAATCATCACATAATAATGTAAGATATTCTAAATTTCTACCACATATATGAGGTTGTTGAGCATGAAAGCAATTCTAAATAAAAATAGTGAAAATGAGAAGACACATTTTTAAGTTTTTTACCTCTATAAAAATGACGATTAAATATTACAAAAGCATTTTAAGACCAGTTGATCACGTTTTTATCCATGAATGTCAATTTTCATTTCGATAAGTTAGAATGATTTTCTTTCTATTGGACTTATTTGTTAAGAGGTTCAATTCCACATGATCCCTCCGATATGATACCTCAAAGAAAGTCCCTTTTTTCAAAGCCATATGAGATTTATTCCTTAGCAATTATCGGAGTCTGTATTTAACTAATCGAAATATTTTAATAATACAAATGAAGGCGAATTTTACCAACTATATTATAGTGATGGTAACTCATTTTTACAAAAATCAATATAAACTTGAATTCTTGCTGGACCACATCTGCACTGCATGTTTTGGTGTCTCAAGCGAATCCCTGCAAAAAACAGCACAATCTTTCTTCCACATAAGGGCATATCAATGAACATTATAGTAATAAGGAGATTTTATAATCTAACAATCCCAGAATTGATCATTGAAACTCACACAATCTTGGGTAAGAATTCAGATTCAGAACATGGATACTTTAAGTAGTTATGAATTCCAACTCGTAGCTTGACATCAAATAAGCACAATTGTTCAAAAATAGACTAAATGCACAATTTGAATTATATATTTCATTTTATTTTTATTATAAATTAAATATACATTTAAGAATTGAGTTTGGAACTTTATTTAAAATATTGTTTTGTAAAGGAACCATTTATACCATTTGGTTGTACCCTTCCTTTGTGTTGAACTAACTTCCCTAAATATATAAAGTTTTTTTTTGCCTATATGGCTTGATAGAATTGCAGTATCCGACTGGATATAAATAAGCATACTAGCATTAAAATTAGTCACTTGAACCTAGATCTTATCTATGGGGTAGACCATAAGTGACCATCCCCTCTCGGGAGTATTCGAACCTGCACCCCCAACATTTAGAGTTGAACACGCCTTAACGCACACGGCTATCGTACTCCCTTAAGTTAGTAAATGATAATATATATTATAGGCATTTTTCATAAATAATTTCCTATCATTTATGCATTGATAAAGTATTTTATAAAAAATAAAAGTCTGATATAAAACTGTTTATGTGAGGCTGTAAAAATACGTACGGGAGTCAAACATACGCCTAAGTAATTTATATTCCTCACGCTAATTATGTCTTAATGACTCCTGTATATATTTTTGGTTAAATAATAAGAGATAGATCATAGAGACTAGTTCAAATTGTCTTTTATATATTGTTGAGTGGATGCATTGTATGAAACGTAAAGCTATGAACATATTTCGTATTTATTTCTTAATTTTTTAGTCGTATTTTAGCAATTTTATGTAGTTTTAAGGGGAAAGTTTTTTGTATAGTCATTTTTATTGGACAATAAGATTTAAAAGAATATAATTCATCGTCTTATTCATGTCTAAATAAAATATAAATCATTTTTTAGATTTTCGCATAAATGCTATCCCTTATTCTTAAAACAAGATAAATTATCGGAAGGATTTTATTAAATAAGAATACTTTGTAGTCTTAGGAATAGAATGGTTTGTTTTTAGCATTACAATGATCAATTTTAGCAATAAGAGTTATAAGTTTCCGAATGCAAGTCAAACGGTAGTGGGTTTTTTAATACTTAAAAATGATATCACGAAAAATTGATATTGTACAAAATGGAAAATAACAATAATTTCGCTCAGAAAAATGTTAAAAGAAGAAATGTTTGGTATTATAATTGACTAATATATGAAATGAGTCCGCTTAGATTAATTTATACGTCTAAAGTATATAACCAATGAAACCAAGAGCTTATTAGTAATGGATGAAATTGCACTCATTAAAGGATTTACTTTGAGTCATCGAGAGCGTTCCAAATCAGTACAATATTATGAGATCATCATAATATTCAAAGGATTCATGTTCTGAATTTATATATATATATAATTTTTAAATAGAATCCATTAATTTGATCATTTCCTCCTTTATTCTTTTTCCGGACATCCTTGACAGTACCCTATTGGCAATTTTATCACTGTCCTTAATATATCAACTAATTGATATTGTTTAATTTAATTATATATATACATCTATTTAATAACAAATGAATGTTTTATCGTCTAAAATATACTTAGATTACGAGGGTTGGTCAATAAGTCCGTGACTTTTTAAATTAAACAAAGGTTTTTTTGATAAAAACTAATTTTATTTTTCAACATAGTCTCCTTTTAGCTCTATACATTTCGTCCAACGTTTCTCCAATTGTTATATCCCTTCAAAAAAAAAAAAGATTGATGGAGGTATCCAATATATGTATATGATTGTGAGATGATTTCATCGTTGGAATAAAATCTCTTTCTACCAATCCATTTCTTAAGGTTTGAAACTCGGGGCTAAATCCGGAGAATACGGCGGATGAGGGAGTAATTCATAGCGTAACTCGTAAAGTTTCAACATGGAAACAACACACGTATGGACTCTTGCATTGTCTTGATGAAAAATAACTTTTTTCTTGGCCAAATGCGGCTGGTTTTCATTAAATCCTTATTAAATTGGTCCAATTAGCTGGTATAATATTCGCCTTTGATACCGCAAGGATAAGATCCTACACTCGATAGACTAATTATGATGCTATAATGCTTGTTTACATCCAGTCGAATGCAATTCTGTCGAATCATAAAGGCAAAAAAACAACTTTTTACCCATTGATATCGATGGAGCAGACTCCCCATAGTACTTATCAATATTAGTCTGTGTTTAGTGATTGTTTTGTCTGCAAAAATAATGCTTGATGAGCACACGAAATTCACTTTTCCCCATTTTCTCCAAAATTCACAAAGTTGTTTGTCTTAAAAGACTGTCAAACACAAACTAAAAGACCCAGCGTGTTCAAACCTTAACAGGAGTCAGCTGACGGATACTTGTTGACAGGAGCAGTGTTGCCAACCTAATTATAAGGCGGGAAATTCAAAAAGTCACGGACTTTTTGACCAGCCCTTGTATTATGCGTATGTATTTGAAAACAGCTACATTGGTACACTATAAATTAGACAATAAATGAAACATTATTTTTGTCTCGAAATATTTAATATTTAATCTAGCCTTGTAAAATGTAACATTAGTTCATCTATGTACTCAATTTGTCATAACAATTTGAATTATCATATTGTGGTTATCCTTCTTTAACTTATATAATCGTAATTTTGAGTTCAAAAGTTCATGTCTAACCATTGAAAAGGCTTAGATTCGTACTTTACTTTCACCTTATGATCTCTGTCGGAACAATATGTTGATAAAATAAATATAGTTAAAATCAAACTTAAAAATAACAAAAATTCAAATGATATCATAGGTAAAGTCTACGCTCAAAACAAAATATTTCTTCACATTCAAATATTTTTTGAAAATTAAAAATTATTTTTAACATAAAAACAACAATAGATTTCCTTTTTAAAATGTTAATAACATTTCACTTATACGAGGATATCGAAAACGACGACTGTCATTGGGATTCTATGCATACAGAAATTTTTTTACGTATTTTTAAAAATCTATATCTTTTGCATAAACTTTTATTATAATCTTCCTTCACTAACTGCATTGTAACTCATACGCATTAGAAAAAA